ATAGCCTATAACGGATGCAGTGCTTTGGATCCAATCTTTCGATAACAGGATCAACATACTGCAGAAAACCACAAGCAGAACTTTTGATTGCATAACTGAAACAACACTTAGAACTCACTATGAAGGAAGTGAAAGTTACCATGTTCAGTTGGTCAGAGTATACAACGATCTCAAAATATTGAGCTAAATGTTCCAAAAAAGCATCAACCCCAGGTCTTTTGAATGTTCTCCAGCCTCTGTCACGCTTTTAAAGGACTACGGAAGTCAGTAGTCATGAAGGAAAAGTTAAACGATGGCAAATCTGAATGCTTTGCGGAAAAAAAAGCTATATCAGGAGGAAAACCACAAGGAAACTCTAAACTGAATTGTCAGAGTATCGCACTAATTACTAATAATGATTCATAAAACAAATTAAAGCAAGTCCAAGCCACTAATTCACAATAAAATCAACAAGTTCATGACTTGGATTTCTACCTTCCAATCAGAGTGTATCAATGTCTCGCTAAGATCAAGAACAAGAGTAAAGACATGCTGCTCCAGTGGGTGCAAATCTGGCAGGAGCTGGTCTGATGTTGGTTCACTAAAACCCTAAAACAAAGCAAATAGATCTGAGGTGAATTTGGTGAAGGATGAAGCATAAGAAGAGAGGGATTAAAAACTAAAATTGCCTGTAAAGGACTCAACTCGAACTTGTTCTTCTGTCAGCCGCCTCAGGTCAATGTAAAACTCAACTAGCTTGGCAGGCACTGGAATATCAAAGAAATGAACCAATATAATAGCTTAAAAAGAGACTCTGGGGCGTAAAGTTAATAATTAATAAATAGCAGGGAACACATGTAAATAACATCATACACCACAGCATTAAGAAAACGTATTACAGCATGTGATTCTCCAATAAAACCCAGCAAATTACTAAGCAGTAGAACATGTGTTTTACTTTTCATACTAGCAGTGAGATGTGCAATATACTTAAATCCATGAACTACCCACATCCATGTGCCTTTAAATCACAACCCCCAATAAGTCAATGCACGGATAGAACCATAAATCACTCACACTCTACACTACAAACTGCAGGATAGACATCCACCTGCTCTGCAACAGAAACTTTCATGTGCCGAAAATGAGATTGCATAATCTGAAGCCAATACAGACTTTTGCAGGCCACAATACACTGATCAGGTCATAGAAATGCCATGCAATTTAAAAATAACAAACTAATGCTTGAATTCTATCATTGAAATGGAAATGCATTGCTGAAAACACGAGGATCTCTATAATAATAGTCTCGGTACCTAGCTCGTGTTTCCAGTTTAAAAAAAAAAATTATAGTATGCAATACACATAACAAATACAAAGTGATGTGATAGCATAACTTATAGTTGACATGAATGTGGACAAAAAGCCACGCAAATAAGAAGAACCAACCTCTTCTTGACTAAAAATAAGAGATGTGTAGCATAGACAAGTCAGAATCATCACCAACCTGTCATTGCTGAGGAGTATAACAAAGCTTGAAATTTCTGCACGGAAAAAGGAAAACACAATTAGACTCTCATTTTACTCATGCTCAAATACAACTGCCAAATAATTATATAGGTAAAAGATGAACAAATGCATATAAGACCAAGCCATATACTCTATAAGCTGTTTATTCGTGTAATATGTGATCTCTAGAGTTTGTTGACAAATACTGTCATTTCACTTAGATTCCCTTTCAAATTTTGAGGGCTCCATGATTAGCAATACGTTGCCAAAAATTAGCACAAACAGTAAACATGAATAAAATTGATCAGTTGAAGCTGAGAAGTGCATAGCGCCGAATTTGCAATAAGTAGAGCCAACCTTCACCCACAACCATACCAAGCAAAATATATATGTGTGTGTGAGCGTGCATGCGCATGTGTGTCAAAAAACTTAATTTCAAACAAGCAAAAATTCACCAAAAGCTCACAATAAGCAAAAATAAAGCAGTGCAAGACAAGACTCACATCGGTAGCAGATGCATCATCCCCAACAGTATATTTCGCAGATTCACGCAAAGTCTTGGTCTTATCCTCAATTTCATCCAATGTGTATGCTGCAGATAAAGGATATGCCAAAGATTGTGAATTATATGCACGAGAAGTCGAGAATGAAAAATATTGATGAATCTGTCAGACCAACTAGATTTTTTACCAAGAATCATCCCCTTACCTCTTGTTTCCACAGTCACATAGACAATCTATATAAACATATAGTCCATTTCTAACACTTGACCAAACTCCACCTTGAGCAACATAAACTTACAAAAGAGCAACTACAAATGATCTCATAAAAGAGTTTGGCTTCCCCCAACAAACATGTTAACTAATACCACATGGAAATTTAGCTACAAACTAAGCAGTAATACTTGCTTCACAGCTGAAACTTCGCATGAAGAAAACTAACTGGAGGGTTATAAAGGCATGACTACATTGCTAAGCAAATAAGAGATACAGGGAGATTAGACAATAGCCAGATCCAAAGTTGGAAGGATAAAACCTGGAACATGTTGTTGTGCTTCCAACTAGTTTTATTTGGTATAGCAAAATTTTATGAAATAAGCTATGCTGATACAGATCAGAAAACATGAAATAAGATTTGCTATTCAATGCAAACAATAACTTTCTTTTTCCTGGAGGTCGGCAACTTTCACTGAATTTGCTAACACCACCAAAAGTTAAGATGTAACACTTCAGCAACTATTGCTACATCACTACAAAGAATACTAACAAATCCTTCCACGAAGAGTCAAAATTCACTCTTATGTTATCAGACCACAAAATTGAACATTTCAGAGTTTTCTTTAGAGACAATTTAATTCCGTATCACTTAAAGTATTTTCATTAACATTTCACTATCTCGAAACACACACACAAGCACTCTTTTTGAGCTCTTAGGGGATTTCTTATGTGACTTCTTCACACACAAACTCTCTCTCTCTCTCTCTCTCTCTCTCTCTCTCTCTCTTTGCGAGCTCTTAGAGGATTTCTTATGTGACTGCTTCACACACAGACACACACTTGGCGAGCTTTTAGAGGATTTCTTATGTGACTGCTACAAGCACACGCAGGCACACACTGGCGAGCTCTTAGAAGATTTCTTATGTGACTGATTCACACATCACAGTATTCACATAAATAAATTTGATCAACCAACCACCTAGACTCCAATCCCAAAGTATTTGAGTCCGCTATAAGAATCCACTGAATCAATTCCATTCTATTCAGCTCACTTCACTTCATTTTCAAATCATGCTTAAATGCATGACAACTCCAATATCAACTTTAAAACGTCTTAAAACCCTAATACAATGAAACAATGCCAATAATATCCCCAAAACTTAAAAATCAAAAAATAAATAACGAATTGGTGGGGTAACCAGCTGTGTACAACACTCCCTGTGACGGCAGCAATAGGGCTATACTTACGAAAACTCCACAGATTCTTCTCAGTTACACACACACATCCACTTTGCGAGCTCTTAGCAGATTTCTATTTGACTGCTTCACACACACACAAAAAAAAAAAAAAAAAAAAAAAAAAAAAAACGTGTGGCCACACATAAACAACTTTAGCGAACTCTTAGAGGATTTCTTATGTGACTATTTCGCACGCGCACACACATACACATATACACTAGATTTCAAGTTGAGATCAACCATAAGAATCCTAAGGATCCATTATCCATTACATTTCATTCAGCACATTTCACTTCATTTCAAAGTTTAAATCATACTCAAATGCAGATGCCAATTCAAATATCAACATTAAAACGTCCAAATCCCCTAATTCAAGGAGATAATACTAATAACAAACCGAAAAATATTTCAAAAAAAAAAAACTAACCATAGCTAGCGTAACCAGCAGTGGCAACACCACCAGTGACGGCAGCAATAACGCTATACTTAAGAAAACTCCACCGATTCTTCTCAGTTCCAGAAGCTTCAGGATTAGGAGGAGACTGATTCTGAGGTGGCGGAGGCTGATCTTTGAGGAGTGAAGATGAAGAGATTATTGGTTCCTTTGGAGGTTCTGTAGTTACATTTGAAGAAAATCGGCGATTAGTTCGTGAAATTATCGAGAAAATGCGCGATTTCGATCGAGCTATAGCGGACATTTTTGAGGAATTTAGAGCTCTAGGGTTTAAGCGGAGAGGACGAAGGTTTTACAGAGGAAAGAAGACGAAGATTTAGAGCTATGCCCTTTTTATTTAATAAAGTTATTTGTTAGAGCTATGAGGTTTGAACAAAGTTAAGTTTAGACCCTTAACCTTTCTGAAAATAATAATAATAATAATAATAATAATAATAATAATAATAATAATAATAATAATAATAATAAACATGCCTTATTTTATGAAAAGAAATTGACATCCCAAATATTGAGGAAATAATCTCATAATGATCGGTTACAATTTGAATGGAAAAAAAAATATCGATCTTTTTGTCATAGTTTATTTGAAATTGACAAAATGCCTATTTTTATAATTAATTCTATCAGCAAAGGGGTCGTTCAGTATACATATTAATTATGCGGGTATATAACACAGATATATTGTTTATGCAATGATTAATAACGAAAAAAAAATTATACGAAGACATACTTATTTTAAAAAGGTATTTTTATCGTTAAACAACTTAATCCCGCTTTTTGCTACTACATGTGTTTTTATTATCTATTCGATTATTTGTTTGAAGATAAATTGACTTAAATGATAGTAATTTACACAAAGCTAACTAATCGAGACTGCATTTAAAAAAAAATTATAGCATTTGTTTCAATATTTGATATTTTACGTCTAAAACATTCAAGCACAAACAAATTGAGCCATATTTCAATTATTTGGAAGAAGATCTGACTATGAGGAAACATATCAATACAATAAGAACTCAGCAAAGATAATGAAATGTGAAATTAATCATTATGATACATGTCACAAAAAAAAATATTAATTTTTGCCGTTGGGAATAGGAACAGCATATTATCCTATGACTTTTTTTCCCACTAAACTTTCAGTTAAACGTGTAATATGGGACGATCTTTCTATTATGTGTTCAGTATCCACAATAAAACCTCAATTAATTGAGATTTGTATTGTTTAAGGCCTATTAAAAGGGAAAGCGATCAATACTATTTTCTTTTATTTCTAAAGTTCGAACCCGAAACTTCGGATAAAGGGTAAATGGATCTTATTCATCCCATCACAATCTTTGATGGTGATTAAAAACGAGTCACGATATAAAAAATACCTATTTTTTCCTTTTTGTTGGTCAAGGAAGATATTATATTAGCTAACGTAATAAACTGTCTGTTACAGTAGTAATATGTAGAGAAATATCAACATCCACAAAAGAGAGTAGTCTATTGCTACATTAGGAATATTACAACCCCTTTTTTTCCTTTCAAAAATGGTTTCCTAGGGTGTCTGCTCATAGTGTTTCATTGATAAACACCGGAGGAACTACCAAAAAGTTTGTTGTTGTTCATGTCATCTTCCTTGCTTCCTTTGCCAGCTTGTTCGCAACTCCATTGGCCTCTCTGTAGCTGTGACTTGCTTGTGGATGTCCTAGTAATGTTAAGAGTGACATGCATTCACATATTATATCATCATAAGTTAGATTGCTTTTGTTAATATAATGTATTACCTCAGTTGAGTCTAAGTTAACTTTGGCATTAGATTGTTTGAGACTGTCATTCTTAACCCTGCATAAGAGCTGTCAGTTTAGAATGAAGAGTGTTGGTGCAATTGATTTTCCCTATGAATTCCATTGCCCAATCCATATTATTGTTCCTGATTACTCCTCTTAATCCTCCTATTGACCCTTTTTGGAGGGTTGCACCGTTTGTTTAAGCTTGTAGGAGCCTCTTATAAGAGGATGTTGTTTAATTTCTATTACAGTGTCAGGTATAGATCTGCATTCACTAGCCACATGTATGAATTCAACGACTCTAGCAACTATATTTTTACAAGAAATTGGCTCTCTTTTATCATTGAAACAGTTGCTATTTCTGGTGAGCCAAATCTCCCAGAGGCAGAAGGGGATCAACTCTCCCCATTTGAGTAGGTTGTTGAAATTCTGATTGTGGGTCATGTCTGTGTTGCAGCCCCATTGGGTCTGGGTGTTCAAAATTGTGTGGATGCTAAGGTTATTTTGGCTCATTTGGGATAAGTTACCCCATAATAGCTTAGCATTGTCACAATCAGTGAGGACATATTCAATGGATTCCTCCTTTTTATTACACAAGAAACATACAGGGTTTAAATTAATCCCCCTGGAATGGAGGTACTTGCTATTAGGGAGTCTTTCATGGGTCATCAACCACAAAAAATATTTGATTTTATCAGGGAGCTTTTTTGACCATATCTAGTTGAATTCCCTCCCAGGATTGTGGTCATGCTTGTCAGATTCCTCAAGGATTAGGGAATAAGCAGATTATTTTAATACAACCCATTATAGGTTTGGTTCCAAATCATACTATCAGTACTATGTGGGTTAGCATTAGAAATGGTAGAGTTAATGCTAGAAACAACACTGTCAAGCAGGTTGAAAGATAGATTGTAAGGGGTCCATTGGCCATTTAGGAGGCATGATGACAGTCTCTTATTCTCTTCTTCCCTGTTAAGAAGGCCACTTAACAAGGTTCTAAGGGGCTCCATGTTCTGGATCTATCCATTATTGTATAGGTTGATTCTATCCCCTTTATGAACTATCCACCTATTGGCCTTCCTGCATACTTTCCACCCATTTCTAATATTGACCTAAGTCCTAGCGGCAATGTATCTAGTGTGATGGCTACTAGTGTAGTGTTTGTAAAACAAAACTCTAACCCACATGTCATTTGGATTTTTGTACATCCTCCAAGCCAGGCCTGCATGGGTAGCAGTGTTCCTAAGATCAGTTTTATGCACACCAAGGCCACCTTCCTCTCTAGGCTTAGTGATGGTGCCCTATTTGAGGATGTGCATTTTCTTCTTAACAACAGTAGTACCCCATATGAAGTTCCTTTGTATATTATCAATTTGATTGCACACCTAGGTAAGTAACTTAATGTATTGCATAACATAGCTGGGGATGCACCCGAGTGAAGACTTAGCTAAAGTGGTTCTCCCGGCCATGTTCATGAAATTAGTTTTCCAACCAGCCAGTTTGGCTTGCATGTTATCTATAATGAATTGGAAGTCCCCTGTTAGTAGGCCTCTTGTGAAAGATGGAAAAACCTAAGTACTTACCAAATGAATTACTAGTATTGATATCTATTGCCCTAGCCAATCTTCTTTTGTATTATGCTGGCAATTAGAGGAGAAGACAACTTTGGACTTGAGGGTAATGACCCTCTGGCCAGATTGACAACTGAATTATTGCAGTGTCTCCATAGTGGTGGTATAGTTCTTAGTGTTTGTCCTTGCAAACAATGTTAGGTCATCAGCAAAGAATAAATGGGAGATTCTAGGCCCTGTGTTGCCGATTTTGATGGGGAAATAGCTACCATTTTGCACTTGGGCCTCAATGCTTATAGAGAGTCTTTCCATGCACATAATGAATATGTAAGGAGACATAGGGTCCCCCTATCTGATGCCCCTGCTAAGGTGAAAAAACTCAGTTCTACCCCCATTAATAAGGACTGAGATAGAACTGGTAGAAATACAAGACATGATTAACTTGGTCATATTATGTTGAAAACCAAAGGACACCAGTGTGTCCCTTATAAAGGACCATTCTAATATGTCAAAAGCTTTTATTAAGCCAACTTCAAGGATTATGTTAGCATTTTCCCCCTCCATCTCAGTGAAGTGGTTGATGCATTCTTGCAAAATGATGGTATTGTCACTAGACCTCCTATTGGACAAGAAACTGGCCTGACTAGGGCCAATGATAGAAGGGAGGACATGCTTGATTCTGTTGACAATGATTTTAGTGATCATCTTGTACATTATGTTACATAGCCCAATTGGTCTGAAATTCTTAAGGATTGTGGCATTGGCACACTTGGGGATCAAGTAGAGGTAGGTTGTTGATGTGTGGCTATAATTCCATAGTTTCGACATTATTTGCCTTGCATTTTATACGCTTTAATGATAAACTATACTTTATTTGTACGTAATGGAGTCTATTTTATGTGTAGGTAAATTGAAGATGAAAGCAGAGCAAAAGGGATACTTGAACGTTGAAAGTGTGCTCGAGAACAGTGAAAAGGAAAAAGATGGTGACACCAGGCCTTAAGTAGGCCTTATACCTAGCGACGCCAGACTTGGGGCCAGGTCCACCAGGCGTTATGCCTGGCGACGCTAGGCCTGGGGCAAGATCTATTCCGAGCTTTGAAGACTTATTTTGTTTCCTGGTTTGACTAAGACTTGGCCTACACGTTTAGGTCTTTTCCTACACATATAAATAGACCTAAAAATGCCACTTTTGGAAGGGAGACCGAGATTAGATAGAGAGACCGACATTAGACCGGAGATTCGACCTAAGGAGGCAAGAATACACTAGGAGCAAGACGTAAAATTCTTCTACGAGTTTTTCACTTCCTTCTTCCTATTTCAATTATTGGTTATGAATTCTAGTATTGTAGTTATGCATACTATTATGAATAGCTAATTTTTTATCTAGAGTTTTGATGGAACCTATTGGAGGATGATTTTTCTGTTACCTTAATATAGATTTGATGTAGCTTTTTCTCTATTTGTTTAACTACGTTTATATTATGGTTGGTTGAAGAGCTCTCAATCGACTATGCCTATTTAGTGTGTACTACTCGGGAGAGAGTGCATATTTAGGTAGTTGTTAAATAACATCACTCCTAACGTATATGATGGATCGATACAGAGGGTTTAAAGGTGGGATTAGGGATAACGAAATCTTGGTGCAATCTGAGTGAGTCGTATTTAATGCCAGCTAGCGTAATTCGGGAGAATATGTCTAGTAAATTATGGTAGTTACTCGGAAGAGAATTACAACACTCAGAGCACTCATGATCGGTAGAGAAAACTTAGGTAAATTTATAGAAAGCATAGCGTAAAAGATTCCGACAATAGGGGAAATCATAACTCTAGACCTTCGTAATCTTGTCTCCAATCCTAATCCTTGTTAATTGATAGTTTTATTACTTTCTAGTACTTGTTAGTTAATTAGATAAAAATAAATATTATAATCTTTATAATTAGAAAATTGTTTGGACTTGTGTTTCTTAGCG